GGAATCGAACCCAGGATGTTGCACTTGCTAGGCAAGTGCTTTGCCACTGAACTACATCCCAGACCAATAGATTTGTTTAACCTGGCTCACACAACGTGTACATATACCAAAGCATCACACGATACAATACACTGTTATTTTTTGTCTTTATGTGTCAGCTAAAATACTAATTTTCAAACATGCCCAGAATCTTCATTTAGAATCAGCCAGCTCTATTTTAGTTTTCTATTGTCCACTCGGTACTTATCACACCAAGAAACTCTCGCAGGTAATCTAGGAACTGCTTTCTTCTCCGTCTTTCCTCGCCACATTTCTCCTGTGTGAAGAACACACCATATGTATCAATTTCCATAGAAATGGGCACAGCCAGACAAATAAGAGTTCCCATGGAATATCTGTTCATCTTACTTTTTGGAGATCGATGTGTTTCTTTATTAAAGATAAATTTTGGAATAGTTTTTGCACTGCATCTCCATGTACAGTTTGATTCTTCAGGGTATCTATTCCATGAAAGATTTCCTCAATGCAGAGTTGGTGCTATATGAGGAAGATTTTAGAAATACAAATAAAGCAAGATATATGCACATTTGGTACATTAGATATCCCACAACATAGAAATATTTTGAGACAGTCTATTGAACACAGTAAACACATATAATTTAAATTTGACAAAATGAAAACAAAATTGTTCCAAAAATTAAGCTTTGTTTTGTGGCCTTTACAGCAATTCTTCAGCAAAGAGTGTTCGATTTTTTTTCCCACATGACACACCACCTGGACTGAGACAAAAATATCAATAGTAGATGAAGTCATATAATCAATGCGGAGTATTACAAATAATATCAAGAAACTACTTAACCAGAAATAAAATGTTCAGTGGTGTAATTGTGTTACTAATTTAATTCATAGCAGCATTTTCTTTTGCAATTCAGGCTAGTAATTTTATTCTATTCCGATTAATGGAATAGTATATTTTATCTTTGAATATATATGATCATAATCATTTATAACTATGCAGAAATTATTGACAGAATGAATTATTGTATATTTTAATGTTTACTGATCAAGATTCTAAAACTAGAATCGTAAGTTACTAATACTTTCAGAAAGATATCAGAGTGGGCTAGGGGTATAGCTTATTGATAAAAGACTTGTCCAGTATATGCAAGGCCTTGAGTTTGTGTCTCAGAAATGAGAATAAAAAAGGAAGTAAAGAAGATAGAGCAAGAAAAAGAAAAGAAAGAAGGAAGGAGGAAAAGAGGGTGGGAGGGAGGGAGGAAGGGAAAGATGGAAGGAGGGAGGAAGGAAGAAAAGGAAAGAAGGAAGAAGGGAAGGCAAACCAGCAAAATCTTGGACTCTTTTACATCCTGTGCAATTCTGTAAAGACCCTGATAATGACACTTTCAGGTAGAAAACTGGCACTATCACCAAAGAGCCTGAAATACTTGCATGATAATTTCTTTTGGGGTGGGGGGCGGTTATGGGGTTTGAACTCAGGGCCTGGGTGCTATCCCTAAGCTCTTTTGCTCAAGGCTATAGCTCTACCACTTTGAGCCACAGCACCACTTCCGGTTTTCTGGTAGCTATTTGGAGATAAGTGTCTCACAGACTTTCCTGCCCAGACTGACTTTGAATTGCGATCCTCAGGTCTCAGCCTCCTGAGTAGCTAGGATTACAGGCATGAGCCATCAGCACCCGGCTGTTGCATAATGAATTCTACTGTTTGAAAGTTATTCCTAATATTTATTTATCATTATTTTGAGACAGAGTCTTGCTATGTAGTCCAAGCTGGCTTCGAATGTGCCATACTCCAGCCTCAGCCTCCCAAGTGCTAGGGTTACAGGCATGTACCCTCTTACTCAAGTCCTATTCCTAATACACACATTCACCCCCACCCCTATAAAAAATGACGTAGAGGAAATTAAACACTTCCAATGAAACTAATGACTGGCTGAGGGTACTGACATGTGCCTGTAGCCCAGTTCCTAACGAGGGTGAGGTAGGAGGATCACTTTGAGCCCAGGATCTTGAGACAACATAGCGAGATTTCAAACAAAACAAATCAATAAACATATGGCTTACAGCGTACAATATGAAATTATTCATGCAATCATTTTCACTGAATCATAATTTGACTTACATTTTTATGTGTAGGAACAGGAATCCTCTGGGTCTGAAAAGGAAAGGACATATATTCGTGTTTTTAAAGCACTCTAGTGCTTTATAAATTGTAATCTGATGCTTGCTAATAATGTAGTTATTAACTAGATACTCCTTTTTTTTTGGGGGGGGTGCCAGTCCTGGGGCTTGAACTTAGGGCCTGGACACTGTTCCTGAGCTTTTTTGGCTCAAGGCTAGCATTCTACCACTTGAGCCACAGAGCCATTTCCCACTTTTTTTTTTTTTCTGTGTGTGATTAATTAGAGTTAAGAGTCTCATGGGATGTTTCTGCCCAGGCTAGTTTCAAACCACAATCCGCAGGTCTCAGCCTCCTGAGGAGCTAGGATTATAGGCATGAGCTACCAGGCAACTGGCTAACTAGATACTCTTTAACTCGCACCTACTTGCCTTATGCATAACAGATGTTTGTTTATACATGGCAAATGAACTACCACAAGCAATTACCTGCGTACTTTTTTTTATAGAACTATAGGAATAAAGAATTACCTCATTGCCTAGTAGCAGCGCTCGATGAGTAGAAAGCAAAGTCAAAGTCTCTTTCACCAGTGTATGCATGGAACTTTCCACATCAATGGCCCAGACATAGGCAGCTCCAAGAGCTAGCAGCTGCAAGTGCAGGAACATCCTCATGCCTCCGAAGCACTGGTTGTCTTTGGCAAAGAAAGTGTATCACACAAGGCTGCATTTGCAACCAATTTATTCTCTCTCTGAGGAAATGAATAATAGCTAGCAATCAGATAGAGAAAACCTAATAATGCCAAATAGTGAAACTAAAATGTTTCCAATGTCTTGTAAGTGAAAAAGTAAATCTAGTTTTTCAGAAAAAAAAACCCAAAAAAACAAAAAACCTCTTCTCCCCTGAAAAGTATTTTTTTTCCATGACAGACATTTGAATCATGGTCCCATCTTTGTACTTGATGAGAAGATTAGATTTCCTGTTGCTTTGTATTATTTATTTTTGTGCTGGTCCTGGGCCTTGAACTCAGGGCACAGCACTGTTCCTGAGTTTTTTTTTTTGTTTCTGTTTTTGTTTTTTTTGTCAGTCGTGGGGCTTGAACTCTGGGCCTAGGCGCTGAGCCACAGCACCACTTCCAGTTTTCTAGTGGTTTATTGGAGATCAGAGTCTCACGGACTTTTCTGCCCAGGCTGACTTTGAACCGTGATAGTCAGATCTCAGCCTCCTGAGTAGCTAGGATTACAGGCACGAGCCACCGTGCCCAGTGGTAGACAAACTTTTACCAAGCATGAAATCTGAGCTCTGTGCTGGTAGGAAAATACCATGCTTGTGTGTGTTTATGTGCGTGTGTGCACTGAGAACTAAAGTTTGGAGGTCTGGGTTACATATGTCTGATTTGAACACTTGAGAGATGTTTCTCTTGGACTGCAGGAGAAATACTGTCTCATTTTAGCAAATCTAGTAGGAGGTATGAATCTTTATAGGCTTGCTTCTAGATACTGAAAAGATGCTCTCAGAAACACAAGCTAAAAACTGGCAGGTTCATCTCCTCCCAGAGAAAATAATTCTCTCTGTTTCCCCTCTGATTTTTTAGGATTCACAGAGAGAGTACAAGCTTTTTTTTTTTTTTTTTTTAGGATCCACAGAGAGAGTACAAGCTTTTTGGTTGGAGCCTGGGCACTGTTTCTGAGTTTTATTGCTAAAGGCTAGTGCTCTACCACTTGAGCCAGAACTTAATTGGAGAGAAGAGTCTTACAGACTTTCCTGCGGCTTTGAACTGCAATTCTCATATCTCAACCTCCCGAGTACCTAAGATTACAAGTGTGAGCCACCAGTGCCCAGCAGGAGTGTAGGCTTTGATGAAGTTTTTTTTGTTTTTTTT